TTGGGTGCTGGATATCCATCAATTTTTGCCTCAAATACAGCTGTTTCGCCTTGTTTCACTTCTTGTGCTGTAAGCTTTCCGACAAACACAGGTGATTCTAAATAAATCAATGTTCATCATATTTTTTATTCTCATGTAATTAACTTACTTGTGACAGTGACTTTGCATTTCTTTGATTTGAGTGATCCACCAACATTGGTGATCTTAGCTGAATAGTCACCTTGATCTTCAGGTTGAACATTCAAGATTGTGATTGTGTATGTGTCATCGCCTTCACTTGTTGGTCCACTCACTTGTATTCGATCACTTGGAGCAAGTTCATCATTACCTCGCATCCATACAACTTCTGGTTTGGGTGTACCAGATGCTGATAGTTTGATTGTCATCGATTCACCTTTTGTTGCTTGAAGAGTTGCTTCAAGATCATTTGTTAGAATAGGTTTGATACCAGCAATATTGAGTGTTGTCTTAGCTTCAACTTCGCCCACTGCATTAGTTGCTTTTGCAGTATAAACACCTTTGTCAGTGAGTTCAACAGTCTTGATCGATAGTGTGGATGTTCCATCTTCAGTTTCGGTAATTTGAAATCGTTCATTAGTAGGTAATGGTTGTCCATTGAATAACCATGTAATGTGAGGTTTTTCGACGCCACTAAATTTCCATGAGATTTGTGTATCTTGTCCGATGACACAAGATAGTTCATTAGCTGGTTTTGCAGCTTCAACTTTTGGTTTCACTAAAAATATTAAAACACACATAAATATATCTGTACAAGTAACAAAATACTCTGTATATTACCTCCAACATTCATTTTGACTGGAACTTCAAGTTTTTCGATACCATTATCGATTATAGCTGTATATGTTCCAGAATCAACGAAATCAGTTTTGTTGACATTGAGAATGAATTGATTTCCTTTTGTTTCCATTTTGTATTTGGCTGATGTTTGTATTTGAGTTCCATTGAATAGCCAAGTAATAGTTGGTCGGGGGAGACCATTTACTTCAAATGTAATTTGTGCATTTTGTGTTTGTAAAACATTGATATCATTGGGTGTTTGGTTTAATGTTAGTGGAGCTATTGAAAAAATAACAGTTAGTTATAAAACGATTTTTTATAAATTTAGGTTCATGCAGGTATTTTATGTCATGCAGAAAATGTATTCGTGGAATGATTTTGAAGCAAACAACTTATATTAAAACCCACACCCTCAGCTGTTTCATGTGCTCCAAATAATGTGTTTGTTTGTATTTATCATTGTTAGTTGAATTGAAAAAAATAAGTTTAGTGATAAAAACACTCTGTTTTTTGTGATTAGTTCGCAGCTATGAAATTTGGTGATCAAAACTCA